TATCTCTTGAGAGTATATAAGAGAGACAAGGGTCCCCTAGAGGACAAAGTTAATATGTATACATCTCAATACAATACACCAAAGACACAGACGACGTCGTGACGGGGACGAACCGAACACTGTCTAAATCATTGCCTCTCTGCGCTTGTGTGTCACCATCGGTTCCTCGATTACGCACTGACCGTCATCGACAATCTACCACGGGCACCCCCCTCGGTGGACTGCCGACCATATTTCGTCGACAGATATGAATTGAAATTAAATTAAATCCATGTTACTTACCCAAACATATTTACCATGTGTAAAAGGATATGGACAAGTTTCATGGACCCCACTAGTAGCACGAGCTGGAGCACTCAGCTTGGTAGTTAAGACTCTGAATAAATCGCACTCATTTTTTTGGTTAGTTAAAAAAAATGCTTTGTGACAGGAATTCTGAAAATCTCAACTAGTAATTTTCCACTAGCAGTTAGCATATGATAACCCAATATGTGTGCTAATATAATAATAGTCGTCATCATCTTTCCTTAATAAGAAAATTTATTAATAGTCATCTGCTGGTTGAGTTTGGACTCTGAACGATTGCATTCACCTACTAGTGAAAGCATTGGGTTTGTGCGATTGATATTGTCCGGTACCATTGTTACGTATGTTGGTATCATTCTTAACTATGTTGAATTCACCTACAAAAGCCTAAAGGTTGCGATCGCTTTTGCTATTTTGGGCTGGGCTGAAGCAGCTGCTGTATAATTATAGTAATTAATAGTATCGGGGGAGCTTGTGCAGTTGCAGCAACAACTGCAGTCCAGGATGGTTACGGATGGAGGGGCCACGCGCTCAGAGTCAGAGTGAGGCGGCAGAACAGAAAGCAGCAGAATCAAGTGTTGGACATGGACGCGTAACGGAAACTCGGCGACTTTTGCTGCTGCAGCCTGGGGACTCGGCGCGGACTGCGGGTGGTCGTTGCCCATGCAAGCCAAATGTAATCGGCTCGCCTGACGCCCGGACGTTCGGACGGGACGGTCCGAACGAACCACCCTACTCTGCCCCTGTCCGCGCGGACTCGCGGCAGATCCACCCTGCTCGCTCCGTTGCACGTGCGCGCGGGCTCTATGGGACTGTCCCCACCCGCTCCTTTCCAAGCATGCACTTGGTTCCGCTCGCTCTATTTTGCAAGCGCACGTGGGAAAGCAAATGTACTTTTACAACCTCCAGCATCCTCCAGAACTAAGTTTTTGCAATATTTAGAGAAAAATAATTGCAACGTGCGTTTGAAAATAAATGAAACATTTGGAACATAAATTTAAAACATACATGTGAAGCCATTGTAACACACGGAACATCCAGATCTACTTTGCAACATCCAAATAAAACAGTTGCAACATCCATCTGGAATAGCTGAAACACTTAAAACAAACGCTTGCAACATACGTGTATATCCATTGCAACACATGCACATCCCCTAATATACTTTTGCAACATTCGAATAAAACACTTGCAACATCCGTATGAAACACCTGCGACATGCATATGAAACACCTGAAACACCTGCGACATGCATATGAAACACTTGCAACATCCCAGATGAAACACTTTGCAACATGCGTATGAAACACCTGGAATACTTACAACATGCGTATGAAACACTTTGCAACATCCCACTTGAAACACTTTGCAACATGCGTATGAAACACTTCAAACATACCCTTGCAATATGCCAAATCAGCGCAACATCTTCTTCCTACTTAGGCGAATGGAGGCTCGTTGGTATGGAGAGAGGGGGGAGGCCGCCGATCTTGCACGAGCTGGCACCGAAGAAGGATGGAGGTGCTCGGATCTCGTCGCTTCGGGTCTCGCCGCTCCGGATCTCGGAGTGCGGCGCGATGGTGGATGGAAGGATGTCGGTCTTGCATGAGCTGGCGCCGGAGAAAGGATGGAGGCGCTCGATCTCGCCGCTCCGGATCTCGGAGTAGGGCACGACAATGGATGGAAGACCGCCAGTCTTGCACGAGCTGGCGCCAGAGAAGGATGGAGGCGCTCGAATCTCGCCGCTATGGATCTCGGAGTGGAGCGCGACAGTGAATGGAGGTGCGGTGAGGGATGAAGCACGGCGCAGCCGGGGCGCGACATGGGAGGGGCAAAACTTGGGCAGGAGGGGCGCGCGTGGCTCTGGCAGAGGCGTGGTGTGTGCGTGGGTAGGGGCAGGGGCGCTGCTTGGGCAGAGGCGCGTCGTGTTCGAGGAACGGAAGCCTCAGTGAGGGAAGAGGGTTGGAGCCTGGAGGATGGGCCGAGTGGGTTTTTTGAGACAGATGGGAGCCAGTCCTAAGTAGGTCAAGCCACGTCCGGATCGAATCACGGGACGAATGCCCGTAGAGAATCATTTTTGAAATGTAATTGGTACCGGAGCCGTTGGTGTGTACGTACGTGGACGAGCGAGCGTGGAACGTAAGGGAGATGAGAAGATGGCCACGCTGCCGCACTAGGCACCCTAGGGCCGTGCGCTCTAGTTGCAGGCAGGCACAAAGAAGACGCACTGACCCTGGAACCAACCAACACGGTGCCACCACGTCACGTGAACCCGCACCACCGGTTTTTTTCTCTCTAGGTCACGCAAAAGGTTTACGCGTATTTGTATTAAGATAGAGAAAAATGTTTAATACAACACACCTTAGCGGTGCCCTAGAGGGTCAAAAGAATTGTACGTGGACGCTCAGACCGACCCTAGTGAATTGAAATCTACGGTGTTACATTGGGAACTAAGTGCCGTTGTTGGTGTCATTTTTTCTTTTCTGTTTCCTGCATGTAGCCTCACAGGCTCACATAATAATAAATAAACCTGCTTGTAATTTGTGTTACACAAACAGTAACCGGCACTATATCGTTAAAAAAGATGTAAATGAAAATAAAAAATGATTTCGGAGAGAGAGAAAATATTTAACGATCAATGCAAAAAAGAGTAGCACTAACTATTAACTATAGAAAAAGGAAAAAAACGTGTCACCGTGGGGTATGACTTGAGGAGTATACGAGGCAAGGAGCAGATTGATACGATTCCATTTAGGTCCCGTTTGGCATGGCTCCACTTCATTCATGAAGCTTTTTTTTGGGGCTTCAGCTCCATGAACAGCTCTATGGGTGGAGCTATAACCGTTTTGATAAATCGTAATCGTTTGGCAAAACAGCTTCACATATAGTTTTTCTTAAAATATGCTCTCAGAGAACGCCATGTAGAATAAGGTGAAGCCGAGAGAAGCCACTATTTTTTGCTCCTTCTCATCCCAAAGCTCTGTGAGAGCACGTTTTTAGGGGCTTCATCGGTGGAGCCGTTTTATTTTATCCCGTTTGGCAGAAAACGGCTCCAAACGGCTCCTGAAGCCGCTAGAGAAGCCCTGTCAAACGGGGCTTTATATATGTCAGATTGATACAATTCCATTCTATATAATAACTAACTAAGTTTACTTAATAATAACCTATTAATGCACAACATTCATCGCTCGTGCTGGAGATAAAATGGAGATATATTCTTCACAAATGATTTGGTGGAAGTCTGAAATTAGAATCGCCACTTGTACTGCATGGTGTCCTTGAACCTGTAACCTAATTTATTATTTATGAATGCGATGTTTTGCAAATAACATACCAAATACTTGTTCGTTAAGTACTATAGTATAGTATATGATGAAAGATTTAATACAATTTTTTTTAAAAATAGATTACCTACCTTATTGATAGCCCTGGACAGGCAAATGCGGCCAGCGCATGACGGGAGAGTCCAGACGCCTTGAGGTGTTGTATTTGTATCCGATGCTGGCAGCCGCGTCCGATACGCGTATATATAAGAGGCGATACGTTGTCAGATACACATCCACGACGTATCAAACGCGTACCGGATACATACTTTGGGATGTGCTGCAGCCAGCTGCTGTATAATATCCATACTACTCAGTAGTTTCCAACTGCTGCTACAATGATCCATCCGGCAGCTTCAATGTTAAGCGGTGGTGGACGTGGACGCGGAACGGAACGTGACGACTTTTGCTGCCGCCAGCCAACCAGGTGGTCGTCGAATACGAGTACTCGAATCCAACAGCGACGGCTCCTGATGCAGCGAATGAACTCCCTGTATACGATTACCAGTAACAGGGATGCACCACAACGCAGGTCCTCTGCTGATGCAGTAGTGCAGCAGCGACTCCAACTGGACGGGATGGCTTCGGGGCTGGGAGAACGAAACCCCTCCACGAACCAACGGCGTGTCGGTTTGCTTTACTCTACAAACGGAGGGACGCACAGCTGTCGCTGTCAGCCAGGCTCACACAACCCCGTCTCCGTCTCCACCACGTCGTCAACCGATCCAACCAGGAGAGAGAGGGGAACGAATTTCAATCCCCATGCCCACGCCTTGTCATCAGTCAGTTTTGGCTTTCGGCACTGGTTGATTCTGGACTGATAAGACTGGCCGGTGTTGATTTAATGTGAGAGAAAAATATTGTTGGCTGACTGATAAGTTTTGGCTGAAATCAACAAGCGAATAGACTGTTTGTTTAGTTTTAAGGTGTAAAGTTTTAGAGTGTCACAGTATCATATGGGGTGTTCGGATACTGATAAGGGTGTCACAGTGTCGTATGGGTGTTCAGATACTAATAAAAAAATAAACAATGAGATGAATTTATTAAACCTAATTAATTTATCATTAGCACATGTGTTACGGTAGCACTTTATTATCAAATCATGAACTAATTAGATTTAAAAAATTTGAATCACAAAGTTATCATAATCTGTACCATTAATTATTTTTTAGTTTATATTTAATACTCGTAACCCCCGACCTCACCCCGTCCGCCGCTCCCCCGTCCTCCTCCTCATTAAACTCTAGTGCCTCCCTCCCGCCCCGCCGCCGTCCGGCAAGCGGCAACACCCTATTCAGTTGCCTCTGCCTGCCTTCGCATCGCCGCCCGCCCCACCCCGTCCGCGATCCCTCCCAAATCCCAATCCATCCAATGGCGTCCACCTCCGGCAGCGTCCTCCCGACGCACACAACCCCGTCCGCCCCCGCCGACCCTGCTTCCTCCTCCACCAAGCCCGCCACCACCTCCCCCAACCCACGCCGGCGCTGCCTCTGCATCTGCCTCCTCATAACCCTCGCCTTCCTCGCCGCGCTCGCCATCACCCTCCTGGTCCTCTTCCTCACGGTCCTTCGCGTCCGCGACCCCACAACCCGCGTCGTCTCCACCCGACTCTCCGGGATCGCGCCCCGCCTGACCTTCCCGGCCGTCTCGCTCCAGCTCAACATAACCCTCCTCCTCGTGGTGTCAGTCCACAACCCGAACCCGGCCTCCTTCGCGTACGCCGCCGGGGGCCACACGGACCTCACCTACCGGGGCGTCCAGGTCGGGTCCGCGGAGATCTACCCGGGCCGGATCCCGAGCCGCGGCGACGCCAACGTCAGCCTCGCGCTCACGCTCCAGGCCGACCGCTTCGCGTCCCACCTGCTACAGCTGATCGGCGACGTCGAGGGCGGCGCCATGCAGCTCGAGGCCGCCACCAGGATCCCCGGGAAGGTCAACATCCTGGGCCTGTTCAAGCGCCACGCCGTGGCGTACTCGGATTGTAGCTTCGTCTTTGGTGTTCCTGAGATGCGGGTGCGCTCCCAGCAGTGCCGCAACCGCACCAAGCTCTAGTTGATGATGGTGAGGGCGACGGACGGGCCGGTCCGTCGCCGCCGGCGTCAAGGCTGCTTGTCTCTCTCTCGTCTGCCCCGCGCGCCGAATCCCGTGCGTGCTCGGTGCGGGTTCACCGTCACGTCACGTTGGTTCGCGGTTCGGTGCGTCCTGATGCATCGCTTCGTTCGCATCTCCTCTTGCTTTGGTTGCCTGCTTCTCCGTCCGCCACCACCGCCCGTCGCCGTCGGCGTCGCTCGTCTTGGTTACGTTACATGTGTTTGTTGTTGCGTTGCGTTGGTTACGTATAGAGTCTCAGAGAGTGAGACTTATTTATTTCATTTCACATAGACTGCTTGCTCTGCCTACGTAGACTAGCTACATACTCTAGTTTGTCGTACGTCACTGCTGTTAGTATTTTGTATTGTATAGATAATCATCATACTGTATGTACGATATGATGAATAATGGTTGGTTGGGTGATCGATCATGTACATAACCACAGAATCGGATTTTCTTACTTATACTTTGTAATCTCATCACAAGTACTACCTCTGCGTGGTGATGGTGACACGCTTTTCTTTTTCTCTCTACTGATAGTGAATTAGTGATACACTTTTTGTGACTGCTCACCTCCAAGCTCCTCTACGATCAAGCGTTGTCGGTAGCAAACACCATGGGATCTGTGGCATACGAAGAAAGACAAACACAGATTATCGGATGAATGAATGGATTGATGGATCCGTAGCTGCGGCTGGTTGCGCTTTTTACTTTGTAGTCACAAGTACTACCTTCGTGTGGTGATGGTGATAGTAATTAGTGATACTCTTTTTTTTTTTTGTGACTGCTGCTGCTCACCTCCGACCTCCTTTGCGATCAAAGCCATGCATGGGATATGCGGCACACGAATAAAGACAAAAGCACGAATTGCAATACTAAAATGATGACAAGCACAAATTGTAATATTAAGATGGGGTCGTGTGGCACACGAATAATAAAGACAAGCACAAATTGTAATATTAAAATGGGGTCGTGCGGCACACGAATAATAAAGACAAGCACAAATTGCAATATGGATAGATAAAACTTAATTCTGTCGAAGATTATCAATCCTACTACGAGAGAGAATTTCCCCGCAAGCAAGGAACTTGATTTCCTATGGATTTAGAAAGAAAAAATGTGGTGGATCCGAAGTTTGATAATTGAGATATTAAAATGAAGAAATTGGTATGGATAGATAGAACTTGATTTTCTCGAAGATTATCAATCCTGTATTAGGAGAGCGAATTTCCCCGCAAGCAATGAACTTGATTTTCTACGGATTTAGAAAGAAAAACTAGTGGATTCCAAGTTTGATAATCAAGATATTGACACAAAATGCAGGGTCCACGCCACATCCGCCGCCGCTAGACTCCACGTGTCTCGCTATTATTGTCACCTCGCGGTATGCATGAGTCTCAATGCTCTTGCTTGTGGCGAACTCCAAAGTCGTCATCAATGTGCTGACCTCCAAGTAAAGCTCCTCTACGATCAGGCCATTGTTGTCGGTAGCAGACACCATGGGATCTGTGGCATACGAAGAAAGACAAACACAAATTAGTAATATAATAAATAAACTAAAATGAAGAAACTGTGATGGATAGATAGAGTTTGATTGAGTTTGGATAATTGATTGAGGTATTATTGGGTTCACAAAATTGGCTACTAAATAAATCCTGAAGATGAAATAAATCCTTTTGGATATTTGGGCACGCGTCTTGCTTGCATGTGATTATGCTCGTGGCATTCGAGCTTATAATATAGTCTACTAACTAGTATGTCATGAGCCCACGGAGTGGCCTGGCCCGGAAATGGAATTTAGCCTTCCAGCTTGCTTGCTCTCTGTGATGCTAGCTGAAGATGGCATTTGTCCCAAAACAAGGGAACAGAGGGAAGCAGAGGCGCAGGGCACCGCCGCACAGGGGTCCATCGCCGGCGTCCCGGCTTGTCTCTCTCGGTCGTCTGCCCGCTCGTCCCGTTGGTGCTGGTGGTGCGGGTTCACGTCACGTGACGTGGTGTCGTCCGTGTTGGTTGGTTCGCGGGTCAGCGCGTCTTGATGGTTTCGCATCTCTCTTGCTTGTTTGCTGGCTTGGGAGTTGGGACTTGCTTCTCCGTCACCCCCGCGCGGGGCCCTGCCCGTCGGCACGGTGACAGTACAGCACGTACGAGATACGACTAGTATAGTCGATCATGTGCTGTGCTTACGGACGAAAAAGGACCGGATACGACGGATATCTGTTTTTATATTTATGTTCGGATTTCTCAACGACGGATACGATATAATTGGATATAATTTTATAAATATGTGATTTGATTATTCGGATACCAATACGGAATCGAATGTTAAATATTCGAACTCGGATACGGACAGATCTAAATCCCTCTAAACAGATTCGGTGTCAAATACGGTCGGAAACTATCCATATTATTTTCACCCCTAACTGTGCTGTGTAACTGTGTTGATCACCAATAGAGTAGCGTAGAGTGAGCCAGAGAGATGGTTTATTTCATTTCATATATATATATACTTTGGCCATGTTAGTTCTGCTAATAAATATCTTTTTTTATCAAACAGATAGTGAACTAGATATGTACTATATAACTATTATCTCTCCATCTAACTAGTGAGATCAAATCAGATAATAGCCGCTAATAAGTGGGCCCCACAGCCCAATCTTCCCCAATCTTATACCTTCCCTGCCATCCGCGTCACTGTCGCACGCACGCTCGGCCGTGGCCCCCGCCGACCCGGACGCCGCCACCAACTCCACGCCCGGCGACGCCGCGCCGGCCTCCACGCCGCTCGACAGCGCTGCTAACCACGGCAGCCCTGTCGTCACGGCCGGCGAGGACGTCCGAGGCCAGGCACCTTGGAGGCGAGCGCGGCGTGGGCGTTTGTGAGGTGCTCGCCAGCGCCGCCGGGGTGCTCGCTTGCTTCGCCGCGCCCCTCCGCCGGCGTCCCCTCTGCCTGCGCAGCCTGCACGGGGCCTCCTCACCTCCGCTCCACCTGCACGGGCGCCTCCTCGCCTGCACGAGCTCCTGCGTCCAGCGCGGGGAGGCCGTCGCGAAGGGGACCCACCGCTTGCCGTCCCAGAAGACGACCCGGCCGTCGGCGACGCCCGTGTACGGCATGCGGCCCTGCGGGGCGAAGGCGACATTCTCGGTCCCCTGCACCTCTGCCCCGTGGAGCCGCTCCCGTCCATCCGCGTGCCGCTTGAGGCGGCATCTCGGCGGGAACGTGCCGCAGAACGCCGCCAGCGCCCGTGCGGGAACGTGCAGCGGCATCTCGCCTCCCCCTGCCGCAGAACGCCGCCAGCGCGGCCACCACCCATGGCGACGCCATCCCGCTAGTCTCCTACCTCGGCTCTCGACCGTGGCTCACCCAGCCGGTGCTGCCGTTGGTGAGCCGGTGCGCGGCGCGCACGGCCGGCTGCCGGTACTGCCGCGCCTACGGCGACCGCGTGCCCATCTTCAACTCGCTGGACGTGCTGTCCGCGCGCCTCGTCACGTACTATCGCTGCGCCGGTTCGTGAGCGAGACGGGGCGGCCGGCGGAGGATTGGGGCACGCGGCACGAGTAGGGCATGTTCCACTACTCGTCGGGAATGCAGGCCGTGGTGGCCGCGGCGGGCGTGTGCGGCCGGGCGTCCGTGTTCTGGTTTGGCAAGGATCCCGGCGCGCAGCACCAGCACCTCTGCCACACGCCGAGAACCAGAAGTCCAGAACCGTATGGGCACATGCATCTGCTGTTAATTAGCTGGGTATCAAACACTAATTCAGCTAATAGGTAGATAGTGAATTGTTATCCAGCTTGTTCCAAAAAAAATTTGTTATCCAATTAATATTAGCTATGTGCTATTAGCTAGATAACTTTTATGGATCCAAACAGGGCCTTTGATGTAATGATGAAGACTAGCTGCATACTCTAGTCTGTCGTCACTGCTGTTAATATTCTGTAGAGTATCATCATTCTGTATGACATGATTAATCATGGTTGGTTGGGTGATCGTGTACATAACGACAGAATCGGACAAATGAGTGGATTATTTATTGGATCTGCAGCTGTAGCTGCAGCTGGCCAGGTGGTTGCGCTCTTCTTGCTTATACCTTCTCTCACAACTTCACGTTTTCCCCCCTCTACTAAATATCTTTTCAAATTATAGGTTGTTTTGGCTTTTTAGACACCTTCCTTCTAAAAAGGTATCATTTTCACTTTTCAAAAAAATGGGTTGGTGTTTCGAGTCACCATCGATGAGTAAATTTCTAATATTACGCGTCTGGCTCGGATGGTGTGCTTAGAGGACACGAGATTTATACTGGTTCGGAAAGAATGTCCCTACGTCCAGTTCGTCGCTGCTGCTCGTGTTACTAGCATCAAAAGTTCGTAGTAGAGGTTACAAACGGGCGAGAGAGGGACATGTCCCAAGTCTCTGGTGAAAGGAGTGAACGGATGCTGAGAGCTCGGTCGCTGCTCAGCCGTGCGCTTGTGTGTTTGTTATCTCGTGGTTCGGCTTGGCTTGAATCGGTTCTGAATCGGTTGATACGATTCGTTTTTCGGCCCCCTTCATGAGACACCCTGCTTTCTCTTTTATAGGCCAAGGGAAAACAAGGGTTACAACGGAGGAAAAGAGAAGAACGAGAGAGAGAGAGGAAGTCCCTCAGGATCGCCGGGTCCTTCTCATCCTTCATGCGGGTCCCGCGCGACCCTGTAGATGTCAACAGGGACAGCTCCACGTCGCGGCCCTGTCCGCCTACTAGCGTCATGCACAGGCGCCGTCTGCCGGTCATGGCGTTCCATTCCATCGCAGCAGACGTCATGATGAGCTAACGCGCTTGTCAGTGTTCGTACGGAGGTTAGACAAAACAGCACCGGTACACCCGACGCTGTTCTTGATGTGAATCCTTAGGTATGGCCCGTCATGGCCACGGGTTACATTGGGGCGTGCCGGTCTCTTCCTTGGTGTCAGAGTTTTGACCCAGGCC